CAGGCAAGAAATATAATTAGTAATTATAATGAGCTAGAGATGCGAGAAATGGAAAAGAAATACAAAGGAATATAGCAAGAAGGCAATGGAAAGCAGATTCCTTCTTAGTGGGAACTGCCCTAGTCCCCCCTAATATACCCCTTATATATCATATGTGTAGCATTACTATATAAATAAACTATTAACTTGGCATACATTTTAGATGATAGGTGTGATGCAAAATCCAAATAATTATAATAAAATTCATATGTAAAAAAAGTATATTATTTGATATTTTCAATAAAAAGATTATTTGAAAAAATAATTATTTTAAGTAAAAGTTATATATTAAAATAGAATATTGCCAAAATAGATTACAGAAAAAAAAAAGTATATAATTTTGAATAAAATTTGAAGATTATATATAATTTTTCTAGTAAAAGTTTATCAAATTTTATTTTATGATAAACTTACTGAAATTAATATGTTTTATCATTTATTACTTTTAAATATTAAATTAAAATATGTAATGCATTTTAATTTTTATCTTTAACAAAATAAATAATAAAAATCTTAAGCAACTTTTAAATATTAATAAATTTCTTTCTACAATTTTACTCCTAATATTTATTCTATTAAAGCTTGTATTTTAACTACAGAGGGTTTCCAAAAGTTTACGCACACTTTTTTGTACGAATTTTAATCAAATTTTTATTAAGCAAACAAATGATCTACAAATAATAAATATTGTTCCTAGAATAATAAATTAAATTTCGTACTAAGCTGTTTATTATTTGATCGGACCACTATTTTCATCTAAACTTATTACAAACATTGCAAATGTCATAAACCTCGCAAATTTCGCAAACATCGTAAACCGCGTACAATTTGTTTATGCACTCATAATTTGAAACAATTGTGTGAATTTTCCTACACTAATTAAAAAAAACATAAATTAACCAAAAAAAATTTTTTTAACCTTACCTTAAAAAAATGGGTAAAGGAAAAGAGCTTACGGAGTCCCAAAAAGACACTATTCTTTATGAACATCGACTTGGCCATTCATGCAGAAAAATTGCAGGAACTGTAGGATGTGGGCCCTCTGCAGTTTCAACTTGTATAAGAAGGTATAAAGCCACTGGGTCTACTGATACAAAGTCACGTTTTGGGTGACCGCGTTTTTTCACAACTCCAAATCGTAACTAATTTAAACAATTGGTTACGAAAAAAAACAATCATCGCAAATGTATCTGTGAAGTGCAAGCCCTTTGGAAAAAGAAGTCAGGGTAGGATGCTTCTACCCCTACCATCTATTGAACACTTCATATTGCTGGATTAAACAATTATGCAGCTCAGCGAAAACCATTCATTTCACCTGAAAACATGGTGAAAAGACTTGCATAGGCACAAGAGCATGCACATTAGACTGTACAAGACTGGGAAAAGGTTTTTTGGAGTAATGAATCAACCTTTTTCTAGTTTCAGCAATCACATACTAGTTGGGTATGGCGAGAACCATCTGAGGAATGGTTACCTGCTTATGTTTCAGTGACAGTGAAACACAGTCCAAGTCAGATGTTCTGGGGATGCTTTTCTGCACAAGGATTAGGGCCAATTATTCCTTTAGTTAGTTCTATAACTGGTTCAGTGCATATTGAAACTTTGCGCAAGCATGTTGTTCCTATCATGAAGCATTTTTTCCAAATGTGAATGGTGTTTTTCAGGAGGATAATGCTCCTTATCATTGAAGCAAAATTGCTGCAGAATTTCATGCAAAAAAAAATATCTGAACCCTTAAATAGCCTGCCTAAAGCCCAGATCTTAATCCGATCAAAAATTTATGAGATGAAATTAAAAAAAACCTTCGAAGCTAAAAAGTAAAGCCCACTAACCTTTTCTCATTTGAACGACAAGTACGAAAGGCTTGGAAATCAATTACTTTCAAAAAAATTGAAAATTTAGTCAAAAGTATACCTCGACGAATTCAGGTGGTAATTGATGCAAATGGTGATCTGACCAAGTATTAAACCCTTAATAGCATTCGTATTTTAATAGTCTGGGAACATTATTTATTGTTTGTAAATTGCTTAATTGCTTAATAAAATTTTGAGAAAATTCGTATGAAAAAAGTGTGCATAAACTTTTGGAGACCCTCTGTATTAATATATCTGATACCTTTTCTATTACTTTTAACACTTCTCATAAAGCTCTTTCTTCATTAACTAGTATTGGTAATATTGCTGAAAAAATTCTTTATTTATAATATCTACACTTAACTTCTGCAGCTATTTTTTCTAATAGAGATTGTTTATTAAATTTTATATCTCTAATTTTTAATGCAAACTAAATATTAGCATTACAATTTAAATTAGCTATGATTAATGTTGCTGGATAAAATCCAGAGTTTAGACAGATATCTAAATGGTAAAGGTAAAACTTGGTTAAATTATATTAAAATCTTATTAAAATCTACGAAATTTAGAAAAGGTAAAACTATATCAAAGCTTATAAAAATGATGAAACTATATCAAACACTTAGTAAAAATTTAGCAAAACTAAAGGTTTAGACATTTAGGCAAATTTAAAATGAGTTTAGACAAATAACCTTAGCTATGATTTTAGAATTGATGAAATTTTCAGATTTTTATCTTAGTCAAAAATTATTTAAAAAAGATTATTATTTTTCTGATACAGCTTTAAATTCAATCAAAAATTTGATATATCAACTACATATAATAAAGAAAGAGAATATATTGGTGAAATTCTAAGTTACATTATTTTTGTTTAATTGTTAGATTATATGACTTAGCATCAGTAATTTAAAGACTAATAATATTAATATTTTTTTTACTATTTCTCAATTAATTAGTTTATTATATAATAAATTAATTGAACTATGAATTAAAGTTTATAATGAACTTATTATGTTAATGTAATCACTATCAAGTGAAAAGTGGAATATTAATGATTCTTTATCACAAATATATCATTTTACTTTAGTTTTCAAAAGAAATTTACCACTTTCACCTAATCCAAATATTGATATTGAAATGTATGATAATCAATTTAATGAAAATAAAAATGTATTTGAATCAAAAAAATATATAAATGATAATGTTAATATAGTAGAACTTAGTTCAAATGTTGATGATAATGATGGTAAATTATCATTACTCTCATCATATATTACTGATAATAAAAAAGATATTAAAAAAATCAAATATGAAATAGTCAAAAACGAATAATAAAACTTGATCCTATTAAAATAAGTATTAGAAATCAAGATAATTAATCTATTTGTAAATGATTTATGAAGCTTATAATTATTCAATTTTTTAATTAGGAGAAAAAATTATAAAATCATCCAAAAGTTAGCAAAATCATTATTTGTAATAAAAATGCTTGCTGAAACTTTCTCAAAATAATTTTGTCAAATCCTTTATTATATTTTTAATATAGTTTCAGTTAATTTCAGGTTTTAGGATTTCATCATACTTCTTATTATATTTTAATATAATTTCAGCTGTTTATTAATAGCTTTTTTTGGGTTTCGTCCCTCATTTTTAACTTGTAATAAAGTTTAATATAAATGTGAAAAGATAATCAAATTGCATCAAGCTTACAATCCAAAGAATTTAGAAAAATATAACAAAATTAGTAACTGTTTATTAACGAAATGAATATGTTCACTCATAAGTTATTTTATAAATTCTATAAAATTAAATCAAATTTTATGTATTGGATTGAGAAATAAAAAGTACTTAAAATATTTGCAAAGAATTGGTGAAGTTATTTATTATGATGGAGCATTACGTGTTGAAAAATTGGTAAGAGAATTATTTCTAATAAAGTTTGACAAAAATTTTTATTAGAAATGATTAACAAATAATAAAAAAATTAAGTTGAAAAATGAGTTAATTGTAAAAGCAAAATGGTGTAATAATTTTAATTTTAATTATATTTAAAGTATAAAATACTGTTACAGGTTAATTTAAGCAAGAAAATGTGACAAAGCAAATGATTGACATATTTCACTAAATTGATCTACTAAATAAATTACACAAGCAATTACACAGAATTGATCTACTGGATGATTTACTACATGTATTACATAGTTGACATTAATGACATTATTGATATTGTTGACATTATTGACATTAATAACATTATCAACATTGTTGATATATTTGGTATAATAGATATAATTTATTTATTATTATATGTAATTGGAAAGATATAAATACAGTAGATTTTAGAATTTGTAGAAAGTAGGAAGTTAAATTTCCTCTAGTCTAGTGCTAATGTTATCATTGTTCTTTATTTCATTTTATTTTCTCTTCTTAATAAACATATTTTTATCTTTAATTAAGTGTTTTTTAATTAAATGGATCTATTATTATAATTATTCTAATGAATTTAATAAGTTATCTATAAAAGAAACAACACTCGAACACCTTGTTTAACTGTAGCGATCCACCAAAATCATACTTTAACAATACAAAATCATAACAAATAGGAAAATTTTGTAAAAAAATATATGAAGTTAAATAGTAATAAAATTTTAAAGGTAATTATAACATTATAAAATAATAAGAATTATTAAATTTGACTTTTATATTAATTATATTATATTCTTAAAATGCATTTGAATGGTTAATTCCAAAAATAGAAAATCATCAAAACATTTAAATACTCAAATGACTCAAATGACTTTAATTTTAATGAACTCTATTATTCTGTAGATTCAAAGCAAGATTTATTTTGGTTAATATTAGCAGAAAAAGGATGGCAAGAAGTATTCAAAAATAAAAAATTTTTTTGAAGGATTTTGTAAAGTTATGTTAGAAATAGTTAATCATGAACAAAAAAAATAAAGGAAATCAAAATTTGTGATACATAAAATTTTACAAATTTTATAACTATTTTAGCATCATTAGGAACAAGAGAATATGAAATTTCAAGCAAAATTTAGCTAGACATACATTTTGTAATATTAGGTAATGTTATTTATTTTTGTAAGTGTAATTAATACAAATTTAATCTAAATTATTATCTAATGACATTTTTATTATAATATTACATTATGTATAATCAGATGATATAATTATTAATATAGAACTTTGTTATGAAAATATAATATGATTCAAAAGATTTGCTGATTTATTAAATCAGTTACTGCTATAACAGATAATACAAAATCAAAAAAACATCTTAGTTATTTGGCAACTTTAGATTATATTATTGGGTCAATTTTATCAACTTCAAAAATAGAATCAAATTATAAGGAAATTATTGCAATTATTAATAAAATAAAGATTAAAAAAACTATAATAAAACAAGTTTGAGTTTATTTACTACAAGTATCTATTATTAATAATTTTTTTATTTTAGATTTCTTTACCAAAAATTCTATCAATAGTTATTGATTTAATTCCAAATAATAATAAAGAAAGAGCTGCTGATATTCTTACATATTATCAAAAAGTTTTAGAATACACAACATAATTAAAAATTATTATTTCTTTTAGATTAAATAGTATAGCAAATGAATTTAATTCACAGTTAATACTAATTAATATATCAACTACAAAAAAATTATTTTTGAAAATAAGTTATATAATTTAAATTTATGTGTTCAGTTTTTTCTAATATTAGTCCAATAATTTGTATTTAAAATTTTAAACATGAAAAAAAGGTGATAGAAATGCATTATTTTCTGATACTCAATTACTTACATTAGGAACTGAAATTGCAAGAAATAATCAAATACTTATACTTAGTAAAATGTTTGATAGTATACTATACAAGCGTGATGTAGAAAATACAGACTGTTAAGATGATGGTACAGTATACTGAATTTTTTGTTCAGCATTTTTAAACCAAATATATAATCAATGTAAATCACAAGATCATAGTAAAGATGGTTTATTTATTTATAATTTTATAATTGATAAGTATTTATTATTTGTTTATATTATAATTATTTATAAAATTTAATCAAAGTTTACTTTTTTAGGTAAATTAATTGATACATATCAAAGCCATTTAATTTTACATAAAAAAAGATTACAAATGACAATAATAGCTTATTTTTTTTCTTTATATGTGAGTAGTATGCTATTAAAATTAAGATATGGGATATAGTAAATCATATGATCTGTACCTCAATTTTAATAGCACATCACCCATATGAAGAAATTATATTAAATATATTTAAAAAAATTATCCAAATATTATAAATATAAAAAAAATTTTCTTGTATTACAAACTTTTAAAATATTTATCAGTTTAGCAGAATCTTTAATAAGTATTTATTTATAATATATTTATTACACAATATTAATATATTAATATACATTTTAAATTGTTTTAGATTTTATTAATATTAGCATATTGAGACTATTATCCATCAGTTCTTAAATTTTATATAGTATATGATCAATCAAATAAAAAATTTATTCAAAAGAATAATAAAATTTTTAAACAGGTATTTTACTATTAGGAGAATTAGATATTTTATATTTAATTTTACAATGTCATAAATATAAGACTTATTCAAGTTAAAGAATAAAAGGGATTTATATTATTTATCTTTAAATCTTAATTCTAATAAAATTAATAATATAGTTGCTTTAGCTTAAAATAATAATGCAAAATCTGTAATTCTATGAACTAAAAGATGGCAAAATAGAATCTATTTAGAAGTATTGGAAAGACATTAAAATGCTTCAGGTAAAATTCTTGATTATTGTTTACAAATTTACAAATTTAGTTTATTAATTTATAATCTATAGCTTATTTAGCTCTGCTAAGTATTAGTATTGCAAATGTTACTTTGAAAAATTCTGTCAAATGTGATGATTATATATACATTTATACTTTTGGATCAAAAATTTGTCTTATTCAATTTTTGGCTATGTATTTATAAATTATCAAACTTTTATTCTTAAGTTAATAGTACTAGCTATATTGATTCACTTTCTTATATTTTAGTACGTATTTATATAGAACAACTTCCAAATATTTTGAATATTTTCTAGTAAAAGAATCAAAATATGTTTTATTTTTGCATATTCCTAATTATTTAATCATTTATTACTTGAAAATTTTATTGAAAATATGGGATTTTTAGTTGTTAGAAAAAAAGGAATGACAATTTATAATTTTTTTAATTCAGTTATAGATAAATTACAATTGATTATTACTACATGATAATACTGAATAAATTTGATATGAAATAAAGTTTTCCAACCTATTTTCTAGTAATCAAAATTATATGATAAAGAATTAAAATCACCAAAATTATGTATATTCTTTTGATTTTTAATTAGTATCTTGGATGTGACCTTTACTATATGATGCATGTGACTGAAATTGCAGATCATTTCCAAAAACGGTAATCAAAATTTACCGAATTTTTTTTTTTTTTTCGTTTTATTAATAAAAACCTAATTTTATCTGTTCTGCAAGTTTACTTGGAGAATAAATGCTGATTTTTGTAAAATTAATTATTTTGAAACGTTCATATTAAAAAATCAAAATCCATGTCCAAAACCTACTTTTATTGTCTAAGTAAGCTTGTAGAGCGTAAAAAATACACATAATACATAAGTTTAAAAATATATAACATTTGCGCCCAAAGTTTTATTCATTTTTAAGGATTATCGACAAGTTGGTCACGTGGGGTGAAAAAAGTGTTGGTGTTACTGGGGTAAATATGTTAACTACCCGTTATTTTAAGTTATTTAAATATACTGTAAAATAAAGGCTTAAATATATATTGATAGATAAAAATATTCCGAATAAAACGATTCAAATTATTTTGAAAAATCCAATTGGATTTAATAAATTCTGGTTTTAATAGAACTGTTTCTGATATTATTTAATTTTTAGCAATTGATATAATATTAATTTCAAATATACCAATAATCTACTTTAATAAGATCTAATAAAATTTTCAATATAACATCTTAATTGGAACCAATTATGTACTTGTACTTGTACTACTAATTGTCGTCAATAATTATTTAATATTTCGATATTCAAAAAATGACGACTCAACAAATAAATTTTAAGTTTTTTGCAAATTTGCAAATATATAATTTACCTTGATCTTAAACTTCGTGAAGAAACGCGGTCGGGAGAAGCTTCTAATTAAAAGATAAACCATGGTTAAATAACATTATCTTTATAACTAAAGTAATAATAGCTAGATTTTCTTTACCTTGAATATTTCTTATAAAATCTATAATGTCTTTTAATTGTTCTAATTCGTTATCATCTAAAGGATCCGGTGCTTCGTCATAATGTTGAAGCAAAGAATTCTCAAATTTATTGAACGCATTTCTACCAACTGCGTCAACCAATGGTTTTTTCTGCAATAAAATAAAAAAATGAGTATTTAACAGAATTAAAAGTAGAAAAAAATTTTACCTTTTTTAAATTTCCAACCAGCAAAGTTAGTTTTTTAAATCGTATGATACTAGTAGATTCATCAATATTTAATTTATTGAGTATTTGACTGTATAATTTTCTTACTTCCCCTAAGAAATATTTTTTAAAGAAATAAAAAGTCTTAATTAACTAAATTATTAGATACACATGACATGACTATTTGATATTTTGTATACTTACTGTTTGTTTCCGAAAAAAGTTCTTTAATTATATCAATGGCGATGTCAGCATGCGCTCCATAATCTATTACTTCCTCATTTTGTTCCGATTTTCTTATAACGCGTAAAAGATATATTTAATAACATTATAATCATAAACCTTAAAAAATATCACTAAATCCACAACTAACTCACACAACTTTAAAAGGATCTGTCCAGTCAATTAATTGTTGTGCTATTTGCATTGGTGGTATCAATTCTTTATCCTTATGTTGCCGGCGTTCTTCGATCAAGTCTGTTAAAGATGAAACACATATCTAATTATAATTAATGAGTAATATTTCTTTAATATTATTGTCAATTAAATATAATGATTGCATTAGAGATTATTAAATAAGAATACCTGTTGCATTAACCGTTGATTTTCAACTGACGAATGACAATAAACGGGAAGGAAGTAACTCAAGCATTGCCGTAAACGAAAATTATTTGTAGTTCCAACATCAAAATATAACATTATAAGTTCTTTTAATACCTAAATTGAATGAATAATAAAACGAGTTAAACAACGGGTCAAGAAAATTTTGCTTAAAATAAAAATTACTAACATCTTTTTCACATATCATTTTAGAAAGCATAAGTTTAGCTATGCCCTCAACTGCAATTGCTTGAACTTGTGGATTTGCCTGATGAAGACAATCATACAATAAATCCAATATTTCACTACCCTTAAAATTAAACAAATAATTTATTTAATATATTAATAAATCAATTAAATTTTAAAGATTAACCATTTTGACTCACATGTTTCGTTTTATCAACGATTGAGGAATAACCATATACAAGTAGAATGTCAAATATAACCTGAAATATTAAAAAGTTCAATATTTTGCGGATAAATTATATAAAATAATATCCAAATCAAAAATACCATAAGAGCTTTAACTTGAAGTTCTGGATTCCCATGTCTTACACAATACATGAATAGACTAAGGTTTTCATTCATTAATTGCTGAATAACAGTAAACGAATTAGAAAATTTGTGCATATACAATTTATCACTAAAATTTATTACTTACCGGGTCAAGTAAACAACATAATCCAAGACATTGAACACTTATCTCACGTAATAATGGCTCATGACGTTTTATATTCGGTGTTATAAAGTCGTTCAAAAGACCATACATGGAAGGATTATCACGTAAACCCTTCAAGAAAGTATAAGTTTAACAATTTTTTAAGATATTGATAATTTAAAACAACACAATTTTTAACTTACGACTTCATTTTTTTCAAGTATACAGCGCACAATATGCAAACATTTTAAATTAGTTATTAGTGCTTCTAATTCATATTCTTCATCATTAATCGTGGAATTGGAATCTATCGACATTCTTCTTTCTGATCTCGTCTCGGAAGCTAAAGATTTTCTCATTGAAGACATACTTATACTAAGATTAGACATATTGGCCACAAGCTCGTCTTCAGCCTAAATATTACAAGTATATCAAGAAGTATGTTCAAATTAACAAATTAATAAAATAGTAAGTGCATTGCATGATCAAACCTGAAATCTCAGCCTCAATGGATCATTGCAGTCTTCAATTGTTTCCCGAATATCAGATAGGATGTCAATCATGTAACTAAAATATCCACAAATTAATATTAACATTTATTAAAAATAATAAATTATTAAAATAATAATACACAACCGAGTAAAATCCCGTTCGTCAATTGAAATTTTTTTCATAATTTCCACAACACTCTCAATATGCCCCTCTGGGATATGATCCAACATAAGTATCTCGCCTATAAATATGAAATATAATTAATCTTTGGTCTTTTTAATTGTAATGAAGAAATAAAGGAATTAGCATTTATTACGAAGAAGAGTGAACATTTGACGCCTTCCAACTTCATCCCCGTAATTTAAGAACTTTGAAATTAAGAGCAATTGACCAACAATAAACTCATAATTTACTTGTTCATCATCCGATGCTTGATTCATTAAATTGATAAAATTTTGGACATATAAAGCAAATTTTGAGACTTCTGGTAAAATATCATCAAGCCTATTTTCATCCTAGATAAATTCAAATCTAAACATCAATAACTTATTTATCCAAAAAAAAAATCCCCCATGATAATGCCATACCTCTTTGTTGAATTCACAAAATACTCGTGCAAGAAAAACGGACTCGATAGTTAGATTTTCCCAAAATGATCCTATTAATAGTTAAAAAAAAAAAGGGTTAAACATGATAACTTTAATTGATTTACTTTCACAATTATGAATTTAATGTTTCCAACCATCAAAATTCAAGGTTTGTACAATATCTGGACGGGATTTAAAGAGTGCCAAAAGGACATCCGGAGCAATTTTACTACCCACGACGTCAATTCGCTCAAGTAACTAAAAATACTAACGTAATTAATTATCTTAAATTTGCGCCAAATACCAAATGAATCTGATATCATACCTCTAAAAAATTATCATTTGCGTGTTTGATCCATCCATTAGCAAGCATATTTGAACAAGCCTTTTTAACTTGAGGATCCCTATGTAACAAATAAAATATTTTATAACTATTAATTAATATAAGTCAAAGATTTTTTTATTAATGTATTATATACCTATCAGTAAGACCATGTTTTAGCAAATTTTCTCGAACTTCGATGGATAAGACACGAAAATCACCTATTTCTTCCTTTGATCTCGTATAAACATTACAACGAATACTTGCATCAATATCTCTTGCGCGATTAAATATGTAAGGAATAGTTTTTTCACTAAATTCAATATTTAGCAAAACAGCACGTCGAACTTCCCTAATAATGGCATGTTGTCAGCATATATATGAGTCAAAAGATATAACAGTTACTTTATAAAAGTTTATAATTACGCGCTAGGATCATTTTGCATTAATCCAAGCAATTTTTCGGTGACATCTTTTCCAATTTCATTGTCACCCTACATCAATAAATTGTCATCAATTTATGCAACGATACAAATTGACGAGATAAATGGCTAATAACTTACTAGTAACTTAGAAAATGCTACGACTGCATTGACACGAACAGATGCTTCTTTGTCAAATAATCGTTTAGACAATTCATCTTTCAAATACTCATACAAATCATCACTAATAAAAAAGTTTATTAAGACTATATTGAGTTTGCACTACCTTATTAACAAATATTAATGTAGTCCTTACTCAACAGTTCCAATCGAATTCATTATAAGAGCTATAAGTTTGCAAACGCGTAACCGTACATTTCTATCTTTGGCTTCAGTACCTTTCAGTAAATGTCTAAGTAAAAATTCTGTAAATGATGATAAAGTATCACTATCATAGACAGAACTGTGAGAGTCATCGTCATTCTTACTCTCGTTTCCGTTTTCTTTTAATAAAAAGGAATTGTTATTACGCGTTTTACTTTACAATTTTCCAGGAAAAAAAAAATACCTTTATCATGACAATATTTTATAAACGTAGCTATGAACGTAACGACGCGCTCTGCAGTTGCCTGACCTTTTTTCAATGGCAATATCTTATTTAGATTCCTAGCAAACTCTTTATTAAATTCGACCTCACCAAGAATATCACTGCCGCTACTGCCTCTAGAAGAAATAGAAGAAGAACGTGTAACTTGGTTAAAAGTTGAGCATTGAAGCTGAAACTTTCGCAGAGCTGCAGCATTTTTCCGGTGGTTAGTAACGGTCTTTTGGACGTCTTGAAAAATTTGAGGAACAAAAAGTGATAAAGACGATAGGGGGTTTTCTCTGACAGGCATTTTTCTGTTATTTTAATACGCGTCTTAATAAATTAAGAAGTGGGATTGACGTGAAAGTTGGGAATAAAAATCCTGATCTAGGGATGGGAATTAACGGTTTGGTTAATTAACCGGTTAATTAAGATTTCCGGTTAATTAACCTGGTGTTCTCCTCCATATAGTCACACCCTATATAGTCACACCTATACATGAAGTAAAAGTCGAAATGACGTAATATCACATGATTTTTTATATATAAAAAAACAAAAAAAAACAAAAGATGTACGATCTCGGTCAATATCGCTCCGATTCGTATGAAACAACTACCATTCGATTCCCCGCGACTAGCCGAATCCAATGAGCTATCATTCATTGATTTCGGATCATCCAATCTCGAGATAATCGCAATTGTATTATCGGCTGAAATTATGAATCAATAAATTCTACTTTAAATAAAG